GGGAGAAAAGCGATGCCTAATCTTAGGGGAAGACGCTCAACTTGTGCTTTTCTTCCTACGCCTAGCGCAGACGGACAGATTACTCCTGCCTGCTAACAACAGTCTGTAGGGGCTCCAGGCTGAGTAAAAAGCTGCCCCAGATCCTTGGGAGGTTTCCTCAAAATCTAACAGAAGTGGAAACCTAATTCTAGCTTTGTCTGTGCAGTCTGTGGCTATCTCTTCCTCTCCCTCGCCAGACTGGCTGTAGCAGGGCACAGCCCGCTGTGGGTACGGTGTTCCTGTAAATGCAAGAAGCAGGGCTCTAGCTGTCTTCCAGAATATTTTTTCCTCCCCTACAACCGTGGCTTTTCGGTTTCCGAGCTCCACGGGGATGAATTTCTGTTTCCAGCCCTCGTAGTGACTGGGGCTTCCCTCCTCCCTGCATCCGGAGGCTGCTGCTGGGGACTCGTCTTCACCCAAGCGTTATTAGCATGCCCGGGGCATGGGATGCGGTTGCCATGGCAATGGGATGATTTCAGCTGGCAGCACCAGCAGATAGTACGGGAGCTCCTGGGCTGTGGCTGAGCCGTAAATGCGGCTCTGGCTGGCGGTGCATACAACTTAAAAATTGCATTTGCCCTTCACAGGAGCCATGTGTCTCACTGTGTGGCTTTCCTGCCAGCCTGGGGCTGCCTGCAGCCCTCCATCCCTGTGCCCTTCAGGGGATGGGGCTGTTAAAATTGGGGATCTCTGTAAAAGCTGCTGCTGAGCAGCAGGGACTGGATTTGTGAAGACCCTGGGCAGTGGTGATGGCACTTGGCATTCCTCGTAGGACTGGGACAGAGCTCTGTTCCCATCCTCACGGCGGGTCTGGGGCTGGTCTGCATAGCCCGTTGCCTTCCAGACCTGATCTGCAAATGGAGAATTAGCGACCTGGGAGGGCATTTGGGTTTTGAGCTGTTTGTACTTAAAAGGTGGCTTTGTTTTCTCTGACCTTGGTATGAGTCAGGCGGTGACTTCCAAGAAACTCAGGAAGGGGCTCCAGGATGTGAGCGGTAACTCGGGTAAAACAAGAGACGAGTCTCAGGACTGTCCTCTCGTGCCCCTGTAAGCTGAGGTAGTGCACTTATTGGATTAGCACTACTGTTAATTAAGGCCCAGCTCCCCTAGCAGCTGCCTAATGGCACCTGGGGTTGGACAAAAAAAAAAAGCCCATCTCCTGCTGATGGTGTTGGCTCCTGACTCTGCCCAGCAGATACTCTCCCCATAGCTGTGAGGCGTGCTGCCCCTTCCGAAGGGGAAAGGAGTCGTCCCCGCGAGCGGCTGAGGTGCAGCACCCCTTGAGCGAGGGCTGTTAAATGCAGCCTCCTTTGGCCACCGAAGCTTATGGGCTACTAAGAAGGGGTTTTTGTCACCTCTGCGATGACAAAAGGGCCTGCTTTCTCGATGTTGTCTCTTCAAGGTATGAACGCATTAACCCAGCAACTAGTGTGATTGCAGCAGCTTTTACAGGAGCAATCTTTGCTAACCAGAGGCCAAGCCGGGCCAATGTAATTTAGACCGAGCCCCTCCCTCGCCAGCCCCCCAGGCTGTTCATCTCCGCTGGCAGCAGACAGCAGCTGGTGTGGATCTGGCCCCTAGGTCTCTTATGCTGCTTTTCTGCTTCTAAAGTGTCACTCGCCGGTGCAGCTCTGTGGCAAATGCTCGGCTGCTGTCGCTGCTGAAGTGTCCGGCAGAGAGGTGGCATAGCACCCACCCAGACATCCAGACTCGTGGCACTGGCCGCCAGGAGATCAGGAGCTGTGGCCAAAATGTCCAGAACGCTTACATAAATGGCAAACCCCTGCCCAGTTCTGCAGTGTGGTGTCTACCCGGTGTCTGTTGCTCCTGGTGAGCTCAGGACTATCCTGGAGAATCAGATTTTATCATTATTGGAGTCTCAATGCAGGAATTTCTCTGCAGCAAGCCGCAGGCGGTAGCTTGGTGAAATATCTGCCTTGATATTGTATCCCAGTGTGAAGCCTTGACATACCAGTGCCTGAAGGTAGTGGGGAAGGGAGCCTGAACGCACAGTATTATATCCCCTCTAATCAGATGAATCTAAACAGAGATTAAACTATATCCTTCAAGCAGCTGGTGATCTGTTGTTTGTCTAAAACTGATTCTTGTCCTTCTCGATCTTATTGCTGGATGTTTGGGAGGGCTGTGGAGGGTTAATTAAGGCTTATTTGGTGTGGGTATGGCTGTGTCCTCTCTGCTCCCCAACGTGCTGGTTCAGGATGAGGGCTGGCTGGGGTCTCATGGCCGATGCCCATCAGATGCTCATGGGACGGCTGTCCTCAGATGGGCAGAGTATTTCCCATCCCTCGGGACCCTGGTGTTGACTCCCACCTCCCCTAAAGCAGCAGGCAGCTGGGATGGTGGTGATGGGCCACGGCAGCAGGTGATGTCCAGCAGGACAAGACGGGGAGCAGGGAGGTGGTGGTGTGGGGGTTTTGGGGGGTTGTTTCTTTTGGGGGGGTGGGGAAGCCGGCTGGAGGGTAGGTTCCCCTGCCATGCTGTGCACTGCAGGGCTGGGGAGGGGAGCAGGCAGTGAGCTGCTGCTTGCTGAGTTGTATTTTCCCCTTTCTGCAAACCACATCTGCATTGTTTGGTTTCTGTGTGTGTAGGGGGGGGTTCTCTTTATTTTTTCAGTGAGGCTGAGGCAGCTATTTTTATTCTCTAGTTTCCTGCGTTGCTGATTTACTGAGGTATGTGCTGTTCTTGCAGGTCTGTGGTTGCCTATCTGTTGCTGTCCTGCTCCAACAGCACTGCTCTAAGGCAGCAGCTTTCAACCAGATTGCTCCACAGGCAGCTGGCTTTCTCCTCATTTACCCTCGTTTGCCCACACTTTGGTTAGCCTTTGGCAGAGGTGCTAATACTGATTCTCTAAATAGATAATTGCTAATGCTGGAGCAAACAAGCTCGCAAAGCACAGCCCAGGGGCTTCTTAAGACCCACAAAGACCCATTTCGTGTGGTCTGTGAAGGGACAGGAGCTGCAGCTATCCCATAGTTTGCTGCATAGCCCTCAGGTGAGAGCTTGGTTCAGCCACCGGTTGGGCTACATGGATAGAGATGGGGGAACTGGAGGCTGCACAGTCTGAGTTATAGCCCTGGAACTGGGATCAGCATTGTGCTCAAAGCCTTCGGATCCCCGAGAGTGAGTGAGACCTCCCAGTCGTCCTCTGCGAGGAGCTGCAGTCTGTTTTCAGGGGACTGCTTAGCCCTGGTCACCTCTTTCAAGAGCTGCTACAGTGAGAGGACAGTCGGATTGCCTGGCTTTGCAAGAGAATTATCCAAGTTCTTGCGTGTATTTGAAAGTGAAACTGTGCTGCCCTGATGCCACACGTGTTCGGCGTGAACCAGGGGTGGTAATGGTGCCGTCTCTGCCGCCCAACCGCTCTCCTGTGCTAGGCAGCAACTTTCCTAAAATCCTGCAATCCTTCCGCCACTGAATTTGGGAGTCCTGCTTTAACTCTTGTGAAAGAGAAACCTCTGACACTTTCAAAAGGCAGTTTTCCCCTTTTTGCTCTCTGCTATCTGCATTATAAACCCAAAGTGCTGCCGTGGAATGTCTTCGGTTTCTTTGCCATCCCATGAGAGCAGTTACCATCTGTTCAGTGTCAGATTTCCTGGGGAGCGTTGTGCACGGAGGGCTTTGCCTCCACGGCGGCCAGTGCTGAGCAGTCTGGAAACGTTCCTCTTGCAGACAGTTTCCTCTGCACCACTTGTAGTCCTCCAGATACAGCGAGGCTGGCTGCCAGGACTGGATCTGGCCATGGGCGAGAGCATCCTCTGTGATGCAGGGCATAGCTGACCCCAAGTGAAGGCTCAGCGCTGGGTCCTGAGTGGTAAAGCATCATGCTGTTGGGACTGACCCTGCTGCTTCTTGGCAGCGTGAGAGACTAGTAGTAACTGCCATCGGGGTCTGGTCAAGCCCGGCTGGAGGTGCTTGCACACTGAACCTCCCCTGTTACGGCAGCGGTTTGCCTCTCGCCATTTTCCATGTCTCCTGGAGGTGGGAATGGCCACGTGAAGTTCACCCGTCTGCTCGGACGGGGCTTGTAGCAGCCTCCAGCTTTAGGATTAGATGTTTACTTTCTGCCGCTACCTGAGTTCTTCTAACTGTTAGTTCATGTTGTCCGTAGCAAAGACTGCACGCGCTTTTCAGAAACTGCTATATGGCACTTCAGAACAATAGCTGCTGGCCTGTAGCCAGACCATGACAGAGGCCTCCTGCTTTCCACTCCCATTCCAGGCATGTCCCGAGGATTCACTAAACTTGTCGAACTGGTGCAGATAAGTAGTGCAGCCTCTGCCCCAAGACGGGCACGGTTACGTTGACATGGTCTGTGCCAGGGTCGTGATACCCTGCAGTACCAGAAAACCATAACGTGAGGCTTGTGTGGCTGAAACTTCAGTAAAATAAGCAAGTAAAACCACCCTGCTCCCATCTGACCCTTTACAGCTGGAACAGTGAAACGGGCACAGTCGTAAACCCGAGCGTTAGCAGCATTTACTTGGACTAATGTTACCCTGAGGACTGTTTAATGAAAAATTGAAGATGTGTTAAGGTCTCTCCAGAAATGAGGCATAAACCTTGAATGGCTTCGTCCCCTGGGGAAAAAACCTCCCATTCCTCTTTTTCGATAAATCTGAAGTTTAGCTGAAGTTAATATATTGAGATTGGGAGAGAACCCAGTGAGAAATGTGTCTGCTGGGGAAGGTGTCAGGCGGAGGTGAGCGCGTGCAGTGAGAAGTGCCGTCATCCCAAATGGCTACTGCTAAACCTGCGCCTTGATGCGTCTGCAGCCCTGGTTGTGCTGCTGCTGCTCGCCGTGATGCTCTGGAGCGGGGCCGCAGCACTTGGATCTCCTGGCACTTGCAGGGGGCTGCTGGTCGTGGGTTGGATGGGAGAGGGCAGCAAGCGTGGTCGTGGGTTAGGAACACCGTGACTAACGATCTCCCTTCTCTCCCCAGACACTACCCGAAGCAGTCCTTCACTATGGTGGCAGACACTCCTGAGAACCTGCGTCTCAAGCAGCAGAGCGAGCTTCAGAGCCAGGTGAGCGCCCAGGTCTCTCCTCGCCCGGGGCCGCCGTACTTTGCCCCATCGCCCTACGTTCTCCCGGTGCTCTGGTGCTTTCCTACGCCCTCGCACAAAGGAGGGAGAGGCGGGTTTGGGGCGTGGGTCCCTCCTCTCAGGTTTTCGCCCATCTCAGCTGTTTGCTCTTCCCTTCATCCGTGGCTGCTGTGACCTCCCGGAGGCGGGAGGGGTCCAGCGGGCAGTCCGCCGCTCCCAGTCCATGCCTTGCACCAGCTTATCTTTTCCCTGCTCCCATCCAGCATGTAATCGGGTGAAATGGCAAACGGTCTCATCTGGACAGGCGTTGACTCTCTAGGCGAGTATTTCAGGTAAACCCAAACCTTGTAGGGCTTGAAAGCTCTGGCAAGCAGAAATAAACAGATAGAAGGGATAACGACTGGCACAGATAAGGATTTCTTTCTCTGGTGGGAAGAGAAGAGCCTGTTTGAGAAGGGTGTTGTCCAGACGTGTCCTGTTTTATTCCCTGAAGGCGTCCCTGGATCAGCAAAAGTCCCCAGCGTTGACGCACGGCTGTGGGCTGGGTTCTCGCACCAGTATCTCCTGATGATGCAGTGGGAACTGCTGGGCTCTTGGTCCCTTGGGTGGGCCAAGGAGCGATCCCTAGTTTCCTTCTCTTACTCTAAAACACCGAGAACAGAAATGTGAGCATCAATTTTGCGGAGAAACAGCACAGAAACGGGCAGCTTTGGTGGGTGACCCTTCTTTGTGGGACTTTGCTCTGCTGAGAGGCTGTGCTGAAGTGTCTTGAGACGATGCCGAGAACCGTTGTCGTGAGCTTCGATGTCACAGAACTGCAGACGTGTGCTCAGAGTACGCTGCACTGGAAGAAAATGCATCCAGAGGCAATTTTGGCTTGAGTCAGCGTCTCGCAGGAGAACACAGGATGTGGCAACTGTTCTGGGAATCTATTTAATTTCTTTTTCCCTTTGAAAAGGGGCAAAAAGACTGCCCGGAGTATTGTCAGCAGGGCACGTTGGCTCAGCTCAGCGTTGTCGCAGTGTTGGTCCTGGGCAGAGGGAGGACAGCACAGGATTTGCCGTAGTGGTGTGCTCAGGGTGCGCAGTGGTTTTTCGGGATCAGTGCACTCCTCTCCCTGCCGTGCTGTGAAGGACACTGTGACCTTCCTTCCGTCTCCTCCCATTAGCCTGAGAGTGCCAGGAGCTGGAAAGCAGGTTGCCTGGGAATGCATCCCGCCGGAGGAGGGGGAACCTCAGGACCTCACCTGTTAGCAGACAGGGCTGGTGGTGCCCGTGCAGGCAGCACTGAGTTTTGAAACCTCGCCTTTTGTAAGGTCTCTTCCTCAGAGCAAGTTGCCCAACAGCTCCCTGGCTTGCACAAGCGCAGCTTGGCTCAAGCTTAGAGCTCGAGCTCAGCCTGGGGCTGGCTTTGTGTTTCATAGAGTGGTTAAGGGGACACAGTTGCTTTTCCATGGTAACAATCGAGATAATGCTGTACCGAGCGGTCTGGAGTCTCCAGCGCTGTTCTTAAAATGAATTCAGGCTCTTCATTAGTTGTTGCTTATTAAAGGAGACCCTGGGGAGGGAGTGTGCTCCGCTGCCTGGGCTCTTCTGTAGCTGGTTGGGACTTTCAGCTCCTCGTGGTGTGCGGGAGGTGGCTGAAGGCAGAGCCAGCTGCCTTCCAGGGGAAGGGGGTGTCTTCATACAATCGAGCCTGCACCTCCAGAAGCTGCTCACTACAACTCAAACGCCAGCAGGACCTCTGTCCCTGGGAGAGAAGCAGCCGTGCCCAGCTCCTGGTGGTCTCCTGGACTTTGGGGGCTGGAGCTGGGGTAGCACAGAGCTGTAAGAGCTTTCTGCGCTCTTGGTTGCACGTGAACATGTCAGAAGAGGGGCTGGGGCAGGGTCTTCCAGTCTACCAGGCACCAGCACCCCACCTTTTCAGTGCTGGTTTCACACCAGGATGAGCTGCAAAGTAGGACTTCTCTGAGCGGGAGGGAGAAGAGGCTGCTGGGGAGGTGCTGGCTGTTTGGGTGCTGGCAGAGCCCCTGCGGAGAGGGGCCGGGGAGGGATGCAGGAGCAGTGGGAGGGAGGTGGCACAGCTGAACCAGGTGGAAACTGCCAGGCTGAAGTGCCAGGAGCCCTGGGGAGGATAGATACTAAACACACTTCAGATAAGATCTTAATTCCTCTCTGCCTTTGTTCTGCCTACAAAGGGAGTCTCCTATTTTCCAAGCGCTAAACATTTGGATTTTTCTTGAAGCACTCTAGCTAAAACACCAGCAGCCCTCTGGTTTATTGACAATCCCTTCTTACTAATTGCAGGAGCTGAGCAAACCCCTGGGGACGGGAATAGGTCACTTCAGCCCTTCCAGAGCAGGCAGCAGGGTTCACAGTCTTGCAAATTAACTGGATGAACTGGAGCTGTTAGCTGAGACAGGGAAAGGCTTGTGGCGAAGGGCTCACTGGCTCCGCTTTGCTGTGATGACAGCCTGGCAGAAGGGCTTCTGCACTACAGTTTGCCAGTTCAGGTGCCACCTAAAAAGTGCATCCTGGCTGACACTGCTGGGACAGTGTCATGGGTCTAGTAGTAAAATTCCTTGTGGAGTAAGATCAGGGTTATGCGAACAGTTGCATCTTGCCTTCAAGCTTGCCTTTGCCAGCCAAACTCAGCTGTGGCCGAACCTTTGGTCCTCGGTGCGAGGCTTCCCCGAGTGCGTGTCCCTCTGGAGAAGCTGTGGCTGGGAGCAGCTGGAGCTGCAATAGGAGAAGGGAGATCGCTGGGTCCGTGTCCTCTGCGAGGGATTTCTAACTGACGGAGGTTCGTTCCCGGGCAATGGGAGCAATGCTTCCCAGCAGTTCTGCCCGTTCCTCTGGAACCGGGCTCCTGTGGGGCTGGAGAGCTGCTGTCCTTGTAGATGACCCTGAGGAGGCTGATCCTATATTTTCTCCCACCAGAAATACACTCCCTGTCCACCCCGGTGTGACTGGAAAAGCCGGTGGTTCACCGGAGCTGCTGCTGGCGGCCGTGCCATGCGCGGGGAGGTGGGGATGGGGCTGGAGCGGTTTCATGTCAATCCTGATGCCTCCGCTATTTGTGTCTGCTGAGAAGGCGTCTTCTGTTCCGGTCACTGGTAGATGCTGGATAATGGTGTCTTGTGTGGCTAAATGAGTCTCCAAAGTGACACCTTTTACGCCTGCAGCCTTCTCTTACAGCCCACGTGCGGCAAGAAAATTGCAGGTTCCCGTCCTGTGGCTCCTTTTTCAAACTCTTAAAATGGGTGTTTTTGGGTGCAGCCCTTCCTGCCGGAGGGCGGAGGCTCCCGTGGCGTGGGAGGCAGGTACCCGTCTCCTGTCCCCCCTGCAGCCCTGCGTCTGTCACCCCGGGGAGCTGCTGTCGGTGACATCGAGGACGTGGGCACAAGGAGGGTTTAATGTGCTTGAGCTGAGACCTGCAAGGGTTTATAATGTGTGAAGGGCCGTTCTCCGCTCCCTTCCGATAACGCACAGATGCACGCGTTGTCGCTCTCCTTCCTATCATGGAGGGAACAATTCCCCTGGGGAAATTAATTGTGGATCCCATTTTATTATTATTATCATTATAGGATGAGGTGTGAATACGGCACTGTCTGCATCACTCTGCTCTTTAATACAGTGTGTGGATGAAAGGCAGCTACAAGCCAGAGCAACGGGAGCGGGTCTGTGGGTTGGCAGGCATGGCGGGAGGGGCAGGAGTGATGGCTCTCTACAGCTCCTTGCACGGCGCTGAGCTGGTTCCCAGCGGTGCCCACGTGCCCTGTGAAAACACGACGGGACGTACCGAACCGTGCGTTTCTGTCCCTCCTTATCCCCCAGGGTCACCTGCACTGGAGTTTCCGAGGGAGCAAAGGGAGCAGGACCCCAGGAGCGTGGCTGGAGCAAGGATTCCTGCCTCTCTAAGGGCAGCCTGTGCTGCAAGTGGGATTCCTCCGTGGCCGGGGGTCGCAAGTCGCCTCTCCCCACCCAGCGCTGCGGCCAGACTCCTGCCTGCACAACCCGGTGCCTATACAAGGGCAGGGAGAAGCTGAAAGGCGCCTTGTCTGAACGCTTCCTCCTCCTTTCCGGCCTTCTCGCTCAGCCCTGGCGATGGCTGCAGCCCGGCAGGACCCGGCCGCTCCTGTGCCAAAGCCAGGAAGGGCCGTGGATCCTGTTAAATTGCAATTCCCCCGTGCTGAGCACGGGGACAGTGTCTGCCTGGTGGCCTCCCTTGCTTCCTCCCAGCGTCGCCCTGACGCTTGTGCCATGCTCCAATTTCCATGGCCAGGCACGCTGGGGTGCGGGAACCCCAGCTAGCTGGGCGCACCAGCCTTGGACATGTGTTTTGGGTTAGATCTGCCCCCAGGCATGAGCATCTTCCCCCACAACTCCTGGATCGGGTCCCCCCTGCAGTCAGGCACCCCTGTACGGCAGTTTTTTAGGGCCAGGTTCCTGTACCCTGAAAGTTAGAGGGGTAAAAAAACAAGGAAGATGGAGGGGGGCGGGATTTAGGAGGGTAAAAATACAGAACTTGTCAAAGGAACTGCTTAGCCTTGTGATTAGCTTCTTGCTTGGTGACTATCTTTCTAGCCTGCATTTCTTCAAAGCTCGTCAACTTGTGCATTTGCAGCCAGCGCTGGCACCCGGTGCCCCCCTCCTCGGGGCCGGCTGAGCAAGAGGCTGCGGGATAAACCCTCTTCTTTGGAGCAGCATCTCCAAGCACAGTGGTGGGGCCAGCATCCCATGCCCAGGCTGCAGAGCTCTGAAGGAAGACAGCCTTTACTGAAAACGGAGCAGATAAAGGACAAACACAACCCCCCTGCCCGCCTGTCGCTGCGGCTGAGCAAACTGGGGCTGGTGCTTTTCAGAGCAGCTCGTGGGGCTGACTCACCCCCTCCTGATCCCCTGTCCGGGTGTGTGTCATAGGTTTTATGTCACAGCTCCGTTAACCTTTGGTTCCTCGTGCCCGACGGTTAACACCTCGAGCCTGCTCCTTCCTAATCGGTGATGTTCAAGATGTGTTCTTTAACCCAGCTAGCAAAAGTTTTTTCTCTTATTGCTTCAAGCAAAAGGAGACTTCTGCCTTGAAATGGATCTCTTGTGTTCCTCTGATGTGCTTTGGCATCTTGGTTGTATTAATATCCTCCCAGGGTGGACTCTGCAGCCTGGTTCATTAAGCCTTTGCTTTCTAATATCGCATTAGGGTTAGAAATCTAACGTGACTCATAGATCATACCATCTAAGGGTTTCTGTGATATCGCTATCTGCCCCATGGCTGTGAAAAAGAGGTAGGGGCTCTGACATGCTTTCAAAGCTTGCATTTCTCCTGGTTTGCAGGATGGGAAGAGGAAATGTGTTTGCAAGCAGAGCACCGAGCTCTGGGGTATCTGCGCCGCTAACCCATGCAGCCAGCGGTGCGCTCCTGTGTGCCTGGCGGTGCCCACTGCAGAGCTGGTGTCTGGCAGCCCCTCCGGCTCCAGCCGCGGGCGCTGTGGCCCCTGAGCCGGCACAGCCTCCTGGCAGGGCCCGCTGGGGGGTGGGATGCACAGAGCTGGCCTGAGCCTGCATCCCGTGCAAAATGGAAACCGCCGTGTCTCATTTTCCCCTGGAAATCTCTTGTTTCCTGTGTCGTTCTGGACCAGAGAGGGGGCAGGACCTGCTCCGTGATGTGCTGCGTGCCCGCAGCCCTGGCTGGCTCCAGCACTGGAGGGGTCTGACCTGGGCACGTCAGCGTGGCCCAGATTCTGCCTGCCCCTGCCTGCTGTGCCAGGTCCCGCGCTGGAGCCAGGCAAGGCCATGGGAGAGCCCAGATGGCAGCAGAGGTGTGTCTTGGCTTCTCCAGAAGATATTATAAAAATGTTTGGCAGCCTTTTCTGAAAGGTGTTTCCAGGCCCAGCTGGATGCGCTGTCTGGACGGGAGGCAAATATGTGAGGTCTGAAGGAGCGTTTCCGTAGGAGTGTGTGTTGGGGGAGAAATCAGCTTTATCCCACCTCCCCTGCCGTGCTGCCAGTTCTCTGCCTCCGAGCTTTATCTTGGCACGGCACGTGAGTGCGGTGCCGATCTGCAAGCACAGCCCTCATCCTGCAAGCTCTTTGCGGGGCCAGCCCGGCTTCCCGACCATCTGTCTGGCAGGCTGCGGGACGGGAAGGGTTACGGGAAGCTGCCTGTGCTGGCCAGACACGCCGGTGTCTGGCCCCTGTGCTTGGGCGAGCATTTCCCTGCTCCTGCAGCGGGAGGGAGCGATGCATCGGCTGCGCTCCCATCCCGCTCCATCAAGAGCGGCTCCTGCTCTGCTTCTCCCACCGCCGGCACCTCTGTCCCCTGCCCGCAGCCTCCCACCAGCCGGAGGGGGTGAGCATCGGCCCCACATTGCACACACAGAGCCAGGCTGCTGTGTCTCTCCGTGCCGGTTGCACAGGGGCCCAGAGGTTTAATCTGCTTGCGTGAGAGTCCGTGGTGACCTTTTCATTTTAGTGACAACATACAACTGTCCGCGGTGCACAAGGCGAGCTCCGGGGAGGTGAATCCCTGGGAAGGGCAGCTTTGCCTGCACGTTTTGTCTTGTGCAACAAGACAGAGCCCCTTAAGGCTCTTTCCTCCCCAGATGGGCAGAGGTAGCTCCTGACAGCCATCGGTGCAGGGCCAGATCCTCGCAGAGAGGATGGAGGAGGTCAGGGTGTCTCTCTGCACATCTTCCCCCCCCCACCATGAAAATGGGGTGTAAGTGTCTGGCAAACAGAAACGAGGATGCTTGAGTTTTGCTAGCCTCCACCCTCTGGTTTCATTATGGTCTTCCTGGGTATATTCCTTCCCAGAGGCGGCTAAATGTCCCCTGACGTGGAAATGCTCTTGTATGGGTGTAGCTCATAAAATCCTCGGGGCTCTCAAGCAGGCAGCTTGCCATGGGTCAGCTGCTCTGTGTTACGTGACTTGGGCGCACTGGTAGCCCACAGGAAATTCAAAGTAAATCCGAGTTACCCAGCCCCTGCTGAAAGAGAAGCAAGATCAGCAGACGCATAGGAAGCTGTTTGTGTGTTTCAGCTCTTGGCAATACCCCATTTTGCTGTTACTGGATACATTGGGGGGGTCTCCCGAGCAAGGCAGAGGCCCTGTTAGAAAGCTGCTGCATCTCATGAAGCACATGGGTCTAAATATGGTTTTTGTTGCTTGTACCCAGATTCGCTACAAGGAGGAGTTTGAGAAGAACAAGGGGAAAGGCTTCAGCGTGGTGGCTGACACCCCGGAGCTGCAGAGAATCAAAAAGACTCAGGATCAGATCAGCAACGTGAGTAGCTTCTAATCTCTGCGTGTAATATTGCCGTGACCTTCCTCCCGCCGGAGGAGGCTGGGGGGGGCTCTGCCCGTGCAGACCTGTGCTCTGACGGCTGCTAACGGGCACGCGAGGCTGCAGCATCTTGAAAGCCTGGCAGCGTTCATTCTCCAACCTGTTTGCCTGGGCATCTTGTGACCCTCTTGCACCTTTCCCAGCTCCTCCGTGCTGGCAGATGCTGCAGCCGGATCAGAGTTCTTCGCTTCTCCCGAGGTGCTCAAGTCCACGTTGATTGTGAGAAGCAAGGAGGGGAGCAGCAGAGAGTGGCATTCGGTGGGGGCAGATGTGGACCGGGGCAGTCCCGTCCGCCCCAGGTTGTCACCATAACCCACAGCGTGGGTGGTGCTGTGGGGTCCGGGCTTGCTGGCGCCAGCCCCACGCTGCTCCCCCTGCGGGACTCCAGTCCCTCTTGTGCTCTCTGGCTTGTGTTTGTGTGTGGAAACCCTGGCCAAAGGCACACCTCTTCCTCCTGTCCCTTTGCAGCTGTGACTGTCCTCTGCCAGGCTCCGCTTGCCTTGACCCCTCCTCTGACTCCTGCAAAGCCCTTTCCAGCCATCCGGCTGTCGGGAGTGTTTGCTGCAGCTGCTGCTGTTGGTTTGTGCCGAGGCTGCGCGCGGTCCCCAGCGTCCCACCACCTGCTGTCACCAGCCTCGAGGGTAGGACAGGCAGTGTCAACCCCTTTCCTTACCTACAGCCCACATCTTGCGGTGGCCGCTGCACCAGAGCAGCCTTGCAGGGAGATCCTCAAGGTTCCTTGGCCACGCACAGCTTCCCTCCTGCCTCGATGCTGAGATGAAGGGGTTCCTAGGGGCTGGGCACAGCAGCATCTCTGTCCTCCCTTGACCTTCTGGAAGGGGAGCTCTGTCCTGTGTCTGCAAGAGACCCAGCTCTTCCATTTCCAAAAATTGTCTTAAAACCACGTCCAAGTTCAGTGGCAGCTGGCCTGGCAGCTTGTGCTTCACCCAGCAGCCTCCATCCATGTCCAGGTGCTGGTGGTGCGGTACGTGGCAGACGTGGACGTCTGTGTGTTGCCATGGTGAAGGCGGAGGATGCACACTTGCACGTATAGCTGCAGCACTGGGTGCGGCAGACGTGGGGTATATCTGTCCCCTGCCCAAACTCGACCCTGCGCTCCCAGGCGGCGTGGCACAGGAGCCCGCAGTAGCCTCTGCCCTCAGCAGAGCGCAGGGAGTTAATTAACCTTTAGCTGCTAGTGAAAGTCATGAGTGTTCCTTATCAAACAGCCCGGGAGCTGTTGGAAAACCCCGGCAGGGCTGGGAAGGCTGGTTTCTCCCTGACCAGTAAACCCGCCCCTGGAGTGCAGCTTTGCATGAGGAAACTCTTGGGCGTCCACTCGGCAGGCGGCTTCTGTGAGCTTCTCCCAGCTCTGAGCTCTGCAGTGCCCTGAGCTGCTCTCCCCGGCTGAGCCCTGGGCAGTGCCGGGGGGAGAAAAACCCGATGCTCTGGGGTGCTGCAGGGGTGTGAGCCCGAGCCCCTACAGCCAAGGTGATGCAAGACGTGGTAAAAGCCTGTCCCAGAGCTTTTCCATCCTTAAGCATCCCTACCTCGGGGACAAAGCCCCTGGCTTGGGAGCTGCTGTTTGCTTCCCTGGGGTGTCCAGG